TAATGAAATCCAATTATCAATTTTTTTCTCTTATGTAATGGGTTTTTGGTGTCAGATCTACAAACTGTTTACCTAACCCTAGGTCCCAAAAATGTTCTCCTATGTTTTCTTCTAAAAGTTTTATAGGTTTGTATTTCACATTTAAATCCATTTGCATTTCACATTTAAATCCATTTACATTGATTTCACAATGATTCGTTTTACATTTTTTTTTTAATATGATGTGAAATTTAGGTCAAGCTTCTTTTTTTTTTTAAAGATTTTATTTTATTTTTTCCTTTTCTCCCCAAAGCCCCCCGGTACATAGTTGTATATTCTTCGTTGTGGGTCCTTCTAGTTGTGGCATGTGGGACGCTGCCTCAGCGTGGTTTGATGAGCAGTGCCATGTCTGCCCAGGATTCGAATCAACGAAACACTGAGCTGCCTGCAGCGGAGCGCGTGAACTTAACCACTTGGCCACGGGGCCAGCCCCTAGATATCCAATTGTTCAGCACCATTTGTTGAAAAGACTTTTCTCCCTCCACTGAAATGCTTTTGCACCTTTGTCAAGAATTAATTGGCTGTGTTTGTGTTGGTCTATTTCTAGGTCTCTATTCTGTTCTATTGATCTGTCTGTTCCTCTGCCAATACAACACCATCTTGATCAATGAAGTTATATATATAAGACTTAACATTAGGTAGAATGTTTCTCCCACTTTTTTTCCCCAAAATTGTTTTAGCTATTCTAGCTCCATTTCATGCTGCTCATTTTACTTTATTGCACTGCTTATCCTTTTTATAAGGTCCTCCCTATACCTAGTAGAGGTATGGCAGCCAGAGGAAGGAAGGAGAAAAAAGAACCATGAAGGAAACAATGTGTAATATACTACGACCACACTAAAATATTATCCAGGTAATTTCGATCCATTCATCCTAATGACACTCCGATTTCTTCATGAAAGGTTCTCTATTATTCCAGGACACTTCAGTATCTCTAAATGTAATAGCTAATATATCTCCACTATTCATTAGCCACAAGTCATTTACTTGCTTCTGTTAGATATTTATATATATACGTGTCCAACACGATGTCTCTTCAACAAGGGAAATGGTCCATGTTTTAGACTTCTTTATATTCCTCCATAAGCTTCAATAAACATTGAATTAATTAATTGAGAATTATTTTTTCTAACTGGAACTTAAAACAGAAAGATCCTAGAAAATCTAGACGACAAAGGTAAAAAATCAGCTAAATGCTACATTGTACCTAGTAATACGATAATTATCTCCCCAAATCTCAAGGTTTTAAACTTGATCTCACTTCTGAATTAAACTGTTAAAGAGTATACTTCTAGGCTCTTTTCCTTTTCTTGATGGAATTGATGGGATGGCTTATGTAAAAAAGAGAAGTTAGTGAATAATAAATTACGGTGATTTCCTTTTTTTCCTCTTGCTGTTTGCCAAAAATGCTACCATTCATCTACATTTTAGGGCTATTAGACATGATTCATCCCTAACATACTGTATAGATTTACCCAAAAAGTAAAATAACCCAAGGGGTACTTTACTGATTTAAGTAAATAGAAACTCAGAATGTCAGATGGAACCGTAAAAGAATTTACCACGTCTGGTTTTCTATGGTGCTAACTAAATCAACCACAAGGGGTCTTTGAGTCCTCTGGCTAATACGCTGAGTGACAGCACCTTCCTCTTAATTACCAATGCTTTGCTGACAATATTTCAACAAAGCAAGGTGTATAGCATTTGAAAAAATATAGCTACTTAATCCATGTTTTCAGCTATAATTTACAATAACCACAGTCTTCCTACCCAATGGATCAAATGCCTGCTCCTTTGCTAAAACAGAAATATACACAACTCCCTCCTTCAAAGGTTTTTATTCATTGGTTGCCTGTGAGTTTAGACTGTTTCAATAATTTGCAACACACTATCAAAGCAAATGTAATAAAACTATATGCGGATTCACTCTTTCTTTTCTTATAAACTAAAGCAATTCATATATGTTACCACAACAGCTTTGCTGAAACTTATTTTGTTCCTCTCCAATTCTTTCACTGTAGTATGGGACTAGGTAGGCAGGGCAGGCTCCAATCAGGAAAGTTTCAGAGCAATTAGTCTTAGAAGCTTTCACCCAGTGTGTCTCTGGTGGCTTCAGAAAGGATCTTCTCCAAGACCCCATTTGATGCTCTGGCAACTAGGCAGATGAACTGCAATTCTCAGAAGATACTCATCAATAAGGGTCTTTCTAGCTCTGCACTTTTAACTTCAATGCTTTGTTACAAAGACTACAATACGCACAATGCAATATACTACCACAACCCTCACCACTAACACTACGGTTCCCACCACACACAGACAGACCCACTATCTGATTAGCAAAAATGAAGAAACTTCGGGGGCTGGCCCGGTGGCACAGCAGTTAAGTTTATGTGCTTCACTTCAGTAGCCTGGGGTTCACCAGTTCGGATCCTAGGCACGGACCAATGCACTGCTTATCAAGCCATACTGTGGCAGGCATCCCACATATATTTTATATATATAGGAAGATGGGCATGCATGTTAGCTCAGGGCCAATCTTCCCCAGCAAAAAGAGGAGGATTGGTGGTGGATGTTAGCTCAGGGCTAATCTTCCGCAAAAAAAAAAATTAAGAAGCCGGATGGTTCTAGTGCTGTGAGAACAGAGTAACCTGAACTCAGACACTGCTCTGGGAGTATAAACTGGTATACATACCTTGGAAAACACTTGGTATTATCTACTAAAGCTGAACATGTGCATACATTCCTGTATCTACTCTCTCAAGACAAGTACACCAGGAGACACGTGCGAGCATATTCACAGTAGCATTTGTCATAACACCAAAAAATGCAAACAACCCAAATTCTGAGTGAAAGAAGATTGTGGCATATTCACACAACAGGATTTCATACACCAGTGAAAAACTAATGAAGTACAGTTAAATACAACATGGATGAACCTTAGAAACAATGATGAATAAAAAAAAACCAAGTCATAGCAGATTATATGCAATAAACTACCATAGTTATAAATCTCAAAACTGAGCAAAATTAAACATGCTATTTTTTAGGGAAACACTCATGTAATTTTAAAAAGGAAAAATAAACACAAAATCCAGAACAGTGGGGGTCAGGCAGATGGACTGGGGAATACACAGATAGCTTCAACAGGATTGGTAAAGTCGTAGTTCTTAAATTGAGTTCTTAAACTCATCAGTTTCATTGTTAAGCTTTAAAACATATATGTGTGTGTGTTTTGAGTGTGTATCATCCAGAATCTCTGGAGAACTAACATTCCAGCTACAGGACAAGTTTAGCCCACTCATAAGATGACATTCCTGATAACTGGGAACACCACCAAGAAATAAAATCACTTTACTATTGCTATTTGGTAACTTTTGTAGTAACAAAGAAGTGACAGGTGTCTCATAGAAAATTATAGCAAGGGGGTGGGCAAGGAAATGGGGGTGGCTATAAAAAGGGCAAGTGAGGGATCCTTGCAGTGATGGAAATGTTCTGCATCATGACTATATCAGTGTCAATGTCCTGCTTGTGATATTGTACTACAGTAGTGCAAGATGTTACCATTGAGAAAAACTGCATAAAGGGTACATCGGATCTCTCTGTATTACTTCTTCCAACTGCATGTGAATCTATAGTTATCTCAAAATAAAAGTTTAATTTAAAAAAAGAAACAGAAAAAAAGATAATTTTTGTCCAGGGTTTCTCCATCTTGGTACACATTTTGGGGCACATAATTCTTCACTTAGGGCTGTATTGTGCATTGCAGTGTTTAACAGCATCCCTGGCCTCTACCTACTAAATGCCAGTAGCATGCCCCTTGTGACTACATCTCCATACCCTGCCAGATGCTCCCTGCGGGGCAAAACAGCCCCATTTGAGAACCACTGCTCTGGTCATAAAAGCGAAGAAGAGCTGTGGAAATGTTCCCAAAAGAAGGAGACATGGCAACTAAATGCAATACCTGATCCCAGGCTGGATCCTGTACTAGAGAGGAGAGAATGCTATAAAGGACATTATTAGGTCAATTAACAAAATTGGAATATCAATGGTAGATTAAATAAAAGTATTGTATCAATATTAAATGTGCCTGAATTGATTACTGTAATGTAGTTATGTAAAGAATATCCCTATACTTAGGAAACACACAATGAAGTATTTAGGGGTAAAGGATCACGATGCACGCAATCTACCCTCAAATGATTCAGGAAATATATATGTGTGTATGTGTATATATAAATTTTACATATACATGTGAATAGTATATATATGTACATAATAGGTGAATCTGATTAAAGGGTATACAAGTGTGTTCTTTGTATTATTTTTACTCTTGCAACTTTTCAGTATGTTTAAAATCATTTACAAATAAAACGGTGGGTTTTTTTAAGTGGAAACAAAAGTTGTGGTCCCTAAAATCCTAACGGCAAGTTTCACAGTGTAGCAGACCAGCATAAGTGATAAAAATCCCAAGAGGATAATGACTACTGACCGGATAAATTCCTACTTCAAGCCTGGTTCGTCGAAAAGAACTGCCTACCTCCAGCCTATCTCCCCCTCCACATTCTTTCTGGAGATGACCTCTTAAATAGGGCGGAACGGAAAACGAATCTATCTCATTATTAAAAGACCATTTCTAGAAAGTGACTCAAATCCTCATCCCTACTCGATTTCTCCACAAATCCCTGAGGTATCTTCGCTCTCAATAGTCAAGAAGCAAAAACGCGAAAAGGGTACAAGTGTTTCTCAAAAGAGAACCACGAATCCGTTCGGCTGAGCAAATGAAGAGAGAAGGTTAAGGTGAGCGTAGTCAACTAGACACAATATTGAAAGTCTAAGAGGGCTGAGGAAAGGAAGGAGTAAAAAGAGACAAGCAGGGAGCCAGTATGAGCGAGGAAGGGTGTGTCGGCCAGGAAAAAGGACTAGAGTGGGTGCCAGCGTCAGCGGGACAGAGAGTAGCTCACCTGGCTGTGGTAAGCAGAGGGTGCTGAGTCCCCACCAGCTTCCGCACCTGCATAGCGATGTTGCTGAGTTCGTCGCTCAGCAGGCAACGGAGGCTCATAAAGGACGTGGGATAGCCCACGATCTTCTCTGCCTCTGACACCACTTGGTTCCAGTGGGCTGGGGACCTGGAAGACTGACCACGCCAGGAGCCCACCAAGGAGATGGTGTCGAGGGACGGGGACCACCACAGGCGACGCGGGGAACCCGAGGCCCCGAGATAACGGGGCAAGCGAAACAGCCGCTGCCGAAGGCTCATAGTTTGAGTCTGACAGTGTCAGGGACCTGGGGGTGTCCGGAGGTGGCGCGGGGAACAAACCAGGGGCAGAGGAGGAACTTGCAGGGACTAATTAGAAGCAGCGCCTCAGAGCGGGGTGGGTTCCTGGAGCCGAGAATAGAAAGGAACTTTCACTGCAGCTTTCTGCAGCATGGGCTAGATACACAACAGCCCCGGCTCAGCACCGTCCCCGGCCATCTGGGTAGAAACCACGGCCCCTGCCTAAATGGAGGACGCCATATTGGAGGCGTGGAAAGCGGCCTGCCGTAAAGACAGGGGCGGGCTGTTCAGGAGCAAATGTTCTTTGCTTTACGGCGCAGTCGTGAACGCCCCAGAGGGGCGGGGCTTTGGAGTTGAACCCCGGAAGGTGATGGGTAGGGTGAAGGCCTCAGCTCCTCCCACCTAACACGCCCCAGTACAGGCCTGCGAGGATCGCAATTGCGAGGGACGCAGGGCGGCGAGGAGCGGTTCTCCAGCCCCTGGAGTCTAGGCGGAGTCTGGTTTATGAGAGCATGCCCAGCGCCCAGCACAGAGTGGACATACAGATGTTTGTGTCACGAGCGAGGGTCGGTGTCTACCAACTCTCTTTCCCTGGCCCCCAGCTCCCGCGGAAGGAAGGGCGGCAGGCGGAGGCGCCCGCTCTTCTGGGATGCCTCTCGTAGCTGCCCGCCGCTAGACCCTGGCCGTGGTAGTGGAGCGGCGTGAGCGCGGCCCCTAGGGCTGCGGGGCTTCGGGACCTGCGGCCACGGCTCCGGTGGGACGCAATGTCCAGGCGCGGGGCGGAGCCTTCCTGCCCTCAGCTGCCAACCAGGCGGAAGGTGGCGTGGCCCGGCGGAAAGCGTTCTTTTTTCCAAGGAATGTCCTCCATCCTTGTCCGAGTCACTGGCTCCTCTGCCGGCCTCTGTTTCCCCATGTGTACAGCCCAGGCAGAACCAGCAGTGCCTCCACAGGGTGCGGAAAGGCCTGCGCCCAGCGTCTCTCGTCGTTCTCTTTAGAAGAAAGCTCTGCTGGCCATCCAGGATTCAAAACTGTATCACTGACCCACCCTAGTGCTTTCTACTTATAGCTCACATATGTGTTCATTTAATCCTCAAAACAACTCCATTAAGTAGATAGCGTTAGTATTCTTTATGTTTCATATGAAGAAACTGAGGCACAGCCAAGTCGTGTCAATTACCCAAGACCCCACTAGACTGGGATGTGAATCCAGGTAATCTGGTTTCTGATTCCATGCCCCCAACCCCTTTTTAAGGTTGGCACCTGAGCTAACATCTGTTGCCAATCTTTTTTTTTCTTCCTCTTCTCCTCCCCAAAGCCCCCCAGTCGATAGCTGTATATTCTAGTTGTCAGTGCCTCTGGTTCTGCTGTGTGGGATGCTGCCTAGCATGGCTTGATGAGCGGTGAGTGTTAGGTTGGTGGCCGTGATCCTAACCTGCAAAACCCTGGGCCACCAAAGTGAAGCTGGGGAACTTAACCACTGGGCTATGGGGCTAGCCCCATGATTCCATGCTCTTAACCACAATATTACACTGTCCCTCTAAGTAGCAAGCTACCAACCTCTTTATCCTCGTTGCGGAGGGAAAGCAGTGGTTATCGTTTTCGTAATGCCATCTTTTCTTTTTTCAGGTATGTCTAGCATCCTCACCCCGTTGTCGTCACCCAAAATGAGTGTTAACAAACCCTTGTTAGTAATAAACAATATATTGCCCGATTTTACACTCTTAAAAATAGCTTGTAGGGCTGGCCCCGTGGCCGAGCGGTTAAGTTCGCGCGCTCCGCTGCAGGCGGCCCAGTGTTTCATTGGTTCGAATCCTGGGCGCGGACATGGCACTGCTCATCAGACCACGCTGAGGCAGCGTCCCACATGCCACAACTAGAAGAACCCACAACGAAGAATACGCAACTATGTACCGGGGGGCTTAGGGGAGAAAAATGAAAAAATAAAATCTTTAAAATAAAAAAAAAAAGTAGCTTGTAAAACTCTCTTCAACTTTCAAAATTCTTTCAAATCCATGATTGATATTTTTAAAATTAGCATCATGCATAATATTGGACTAGACTCAAGCTACATATAAAACCTTGGACTTAAAGGGCGTATTAAAGAGTAATTATTCACTTTGCAAAAAAGATGCTTTTCTCTACAAAAAGTGTATCTGCAGACTCCCTTCGAATGGCAAATTTCCCTTGTTATTTATTTATGCTGAGGAAGATTCACCCTGAGCTAACATCTGTGCCAATCTTCCTCTATTTTGTATGTGGGTCATTGCCTCAGCATAGTCGCCAGGAGTGGTGTAGTCTGTGCTGCAGAACCGAACCAGGGCCACCCAAGCGGAGCCTGCCGAACTTGACCACTAGTCTACCTCCGGTCCCCACCTTGTGATTTAAAAATCTGATTTTATTTCCAAAAACTCAATTTAGGCATAACTTTTCAGGGGTACATTTTAAATGAACCTCACTTACTTATGCTTGTAAGTATTAAACACAATCTGAGCTCACAAAATAAGTAAGGCAAGCTGAAATTCAAAAATAATTCCTGTGAAAGAGGTAAACTCCTGGCAATAAAATTCAGGTCTTTCTAGATGAAAATAAATGTGGAGCGTCAGATACCTTAGCATTCCAGAAAGTTCCAAGGCCGGAACTTTCTGGGTTATCCAAGGTGAAAGAAATCATGAAAAACCAGACAGAGATAAAGACTGAATGTGATATATTGTGCACCTGAGGCTGTTTCTCCAGAATCATGGTACCTTAAGATTAACTTTTCATGCAGTTTCCTTAATACCAATTCATAGCATGTACTTTAATTTCTCCACAGAAGCCAAGTGCATTATTCTCTGGTCATACTCTATTAACCAAGTTTCTGATTATTCACGGGACTTTTGGTCCCATTTACTTTAAATAATCGGCACTTTTCTTTATACTTACAGTTAAAAGATTGCATTATACCTAATAATAATCAGTTTTTAGAAGGTTAAAATGGTATTTGTTCTTTAATCTTCCAGATTAATATATAACTCCTTAGAGTCTTTCTGACTAAAGAGATTTCTGAATTGCTAGTGACTTTTGGAGGAGCAGGGAGGGGTAATATCTGTGATTCTGCCACTGATAATAGTAATTTTGGGGATGTCTCTGAATGGGTACATAAAGAAAGAAAACAGCAGGGTTTCTCAACTTTGGTACTATTGATATTTGGGGGGCACCCAATTCTTTGCTACAGGGGGAGGGCTGTCCTGTGCACAGTAGCATGTTGAGGGGCATCCCTGGCCTCTACTCACTAGATGCCAGCAGTACCCCTCTCTGAGTTGTGACAACCAGATATGTCTCAGAACATTGCCAAATGTCCCCTGGGGAGCAAAATCACCCATGAAAACACAGAGAAAAGGGAGAACCTGAAAACAATGTCCATCATGACATTTACTCCTACAAAACAGCAAAAGAAAAGGTCCTGGGTGTGAACAGACTTGCAGTTTAGAAAGTGGATGCTCACTTCACAATCTGTAGAAACCTGCAACCATACACAGAAACTTCTCCTTGGCATTGGGATTGTTCTGGAGACAGCAAGCTGACAAAAGATGATCAGTTTTCCTCCTCCACTTTTCTCAGGATCCTGAAGCTGGTAAAATACCAGTGGGCTTCACTCACTGTGTCCTCTCTGCATTCTGCTGACCTTAGAAAGAAGGGAGGTCATATTTGATGTCTTTTTCTTTGCCTGGAAACCCGAGCCAGCCTTTGGAAGCTCAAGGCCTTAACAAGAATGGTGTATACTTTGGGCTTTGGCACTTCCACGATTAGGTGAGTGGAAATAGATAGGGACACTGCAGCCACCCTCCTTCTATCACCCTCAACACAATCACCTATTGTCTGTGCTAAGAGAGTTCTTCCAAAAGCAGATGAAAGTCTCGTGGTATATCTTGGGGCAGAATGATAAAAGGAGGCAAGTAATCAGATTAGCAGAAATCCAAAAGTTTGACCACCTACTGGATTGGCAGGCTTTGGAGAATAGGGACGACACATATTGCTAGTGAGAGTGTAAAATGGTACACAGCACCTACCGAAGGGAATTTGCTAATCCCTAGAAAAATTGTGTATACGTTCACCCTTTAACCCAGAAATCCCAGTTCTGGGAATCCTTCCCAAATACAAAATGACTTATGCACAAGATTATTCATTGCAATATTGTATGTACTAGCAAAAGGTCAGAAAGAAGCCAAATAACCACAGTTGGGGACTGGTTGAATAAACTTGGGTAGATCCATACCATGAAACACACTGTGCAGCTCTGAAAAAGAATGAGGGCCATCTCTTTACACTGATGTGATCTCCAGAATATATGCTAACTTTAAAACAACAACAAAAAACAAACCAAGGTGCAGAACAGTATAGTATGCTTTTATTGTAAGATAGGTGAACTGTGAATATGTATTGCATATATTTGGGATGGGACGGCAGGTGGAGGAGGGGAGAGGCATGGAAGCAGACTACTCTGAATATACCTTGACTATATAGCTTTGACTTTAGAATCACGTTTATATTTTACATATTCAATATAATTTTAAATTCAAAAGGAAAATGCAATTCCTAAAATTTGAAAACAAACTGAAGCAAATGATCTAACTGTATATTAAGTTGGTGGCATAATCACACCAAGTAAACAATTAAATGACTTTAGAAAATACTGTTTTCACTCTATGTTCATAGTGGAATATGCTCTCAGGATAAATACACCGACAAAGAAATCTTAAACTTCGTTCAGCAGTCTTATTGCTAGTAGAAATATAGGTATTATTATTTTCAAACTCTTTTTGTGTATTATAGGTAAAAACAAATATTAGAGTTCTCAGGAACAATGAATTTCAGAGTAAGTAGAATTCACGTAATACTGAAGTTGAATTGGAAATAAAATGAACTGTGATTTGTTCTTTTCAAAAATGTTTCTTATGTCCCAGTAAGAAAAGTTTTTACATTTTTGGGGAAAATAAAAGAAGCATTTACTTGCTTTGTCCCTTGAAAAGGCCTGGAAGTAATGATAATCTTGTACCAATGAGCACCTTTAGCATTCATATTGTACTTTCAATACATCATTCCCTATTAAAAGGAACAAATTCTTTCTAAAATGGCAGATTTCAGGCCGGGGCGAGAAATGCGCGTGATGAGCCTGGGACACCCTGTTGTGCCAGAAATCAAGGAAGGTATTAAAATCTAAAATCTAATGGGACAGGTCAAAGGGACAAAGGGATCAGCATAAATGAGCTTCCACTGGCTGAAAAGGGGACAAACTGAGCATCAAA